CAAAAATTTGGATGATATTTAAAAAAAATCATTACTTATTATATTAAAAAATCTCTATTGTGAATAAAACTATTTACAAAAAGTTAAAAATAAAAAATAAAAAAATAGGAAATATAAATATTTTCATTCCATTAATTCAAGATTCAAAATTACACAAAATTAGATCAGTTTTACTTCCATTTCAAACGCCATTGCTAAAGTTATACACTTTATCAAAATAAACATTTACTATGCCCAACCATTGAAGATCATTGTGCTCAAATGACTAATCTCGTTATCCATTCCTTTTTCCTAACATTTGAAATATGGTTTGTTCGAATTCAATGCACTTCTTCCCTTCTTCTCGCCTACCATCTTCCATTTTTTGAAGTAATTCATTATTTTCCCTTGTAAATTGATCTATCTTCTCACAAGCAATTGGCAACTCACCTATGTCCTAATCTACTGCAGGAACTTGATTACTCAAGCCATTTACGGCTTGATTAGCTTCTCTTCCTCCATTTAGCTTCTATAATTCCAAATGCTGCACACAAAAACACAAGCAGTTACAAATTTATGTGTCTAAAAGAAATGCTTGAATTTTTTTTTTCCATCAGCTTTGATTAAATAAATTAAGAGAAACCCAAAAATATAAAATTGATTTACTCATGGTATTAAAAGAGTCCAAGGAACGCCAACAAAATACCAGTAAAGACCGAGGTTGAAAGAATACTAGTACCTATAGTTAATCATTGTTTTGGATTTTTTGGAACTAGAACTAAATTTAGACAGGATGACTATAAATGATATTGTCTCAGGGTAAAAGAAATTGTCTCAGCAAATAAAATGGAGACAATATCCACATGGTAGAGCTCAAATAGTGGTGATCAAGTATAAAGCATCATGATTCTACCATTAATACCAAGTAGCTAGAGTATCTTGGGAACGAGAAGATTACATTCAAGTTCATAATTCTTATCTCTTCTTTCCTTTCCATAGATGGCATTAGTACATTTTCGAAAGAATCTTGGGAAAATTGATTGGGGATCCCACTTTTGCCTTGCCATATTGGAATTGGGACACTCCTAAGGCCTAAGGGCATGACTGTACCATCCATGTTTACTGACTCAACTTCGCCATTATATAATGCAAAGCTCAACTCGACAAACATGCCTCCAACCGCCATCGATCTAGGCCTCACCGGCGCCACTGACGACCTCCAAAAGGTTGTCAACAATCTCAAAATCATGTACAGTGAAATGGTTCACAGTGTCAACATCGTGGAGGATTTTATAGGTAAACCATACCTAGAAAGGAGCGCCACCGATCCCGGGCCAGGGTCGTCTGAGCGTGGCTCTCATGTTGCGGTCCAAGTGTTCGTTGGAGATCCAAAGCAACCCACTTTTGAAGACATGGGAAACTTTTACTCGGCGGGTCGAGACCTTCTTTTCTATTGCCACCATGCAAATGTCGATCGCATGTGGACATTGTGGCGAGAGCTAAAATAATGCAAAAATGGGATACAAATGAAAATATATATCTTCCATGGCTAAATTACAAGCCACCAAAGAAGGCAGCCAAATCTAAAGTGAAAAATCTTTCCACTGCTCCAAATGCGGCAAAGGTGATTTAGCCTCTTTGGTAGAAATTAAAATTTTAATTTTAATTTAAGCATTAGAATTGGAATTAACTGCAAGAATAATTAGTTAAAAATGTACGGTAAACATTGGAATTGGTGTATATTTGAAAATCATCGTTTGAGCATTTGGTAGAAAAAAAAATGTTTTGTTGTTGTGCATGAATACTTAATAAAATAGATGTTGATTAATGACAATATTTAACATTATTTATGTACGATAATATATTCACCAATGTTATTTTAAAACAAATCAATCTGGTTTGATCAAATCCAGTTTATTGTCTGTACAAATGGAATAATCCATATAGAACTTTAGACAAATTTTTTCGTATCACGACAATTATATTATATTTATATAGAAGCCTAGAAGCAATCCAATTTTCAAAAGTTTCGATCACAGCAGCCACAAGGAATATAAACAAGTTAGAAAAATAATAAAATGAGTTGGGGTCGAATTAAAGTATGATTAGTTATGAAAACGTTAAGTCTTCCTTCAAAATACATGCTTTTAAAATTCATTTTCAACCACACATTTTTCAATAAAATAATATTTTTCATCACATCAATAAATTTTTCTTACTTTTAACCACATATTTCTCATCATATCACTATTAAAAATACATTATTTTCTCGATAATATCCATCAAAACATGGATTAATAATGTATTGATGGGCCTAATTAATTATTGGAACATGCCTTGCATGGAAAAGATATTAAAAGACGGCGAAATGCAATATTCTTTCTGGTAATTAGTTGTCCACTGGGTCTTGTTTGAATATTTTGTTTGTAAAAGCTGGAAATCAATAAAAAAAAGTTCTCAAATGGGTGCTTCTGTACAAGTTTTAACAAATTCTAATTCACACCTCATGACATGTGTGATAGAAGTATACAGCAAATTATTGGATGAAAAAACTGATTGTATTTTAAACAGTTCAATTATAGAATGTCATGCGATGTTATATCAATCTTCCTATCAACTTACTTGATACTGTAGCATGATTCGTTTTCAGATGCCTAGCTAATTAATTGCCCATTGACTGCTCTAAGGCCTACTTTCAGCATAACCTAAAGCCCTTAACGAAATTGGCTGCGGCTAAATTGTATAATATAGTGTTGAAATGAGAACCCGACGATAAGAGATCCATTACTAGTCGACATGTGCAAACGTCTATCTAGTTTACATGATACGGATGTACAAAAAAAATATGAAATGTGTTAATCAATGCAGCTACTTGCCAAAGCACGTTCTCCTTCCCCTAAACTTGTTATACCTTATCTCTAAATAAGAAATATCAACCCTAGACGCAAACATTTCAAACATCGAAAATTTAAACGAAACTCTATCAATTGTCATTGTGAATGCAGTGAGCAACTGTTTGAGCCCCATTGTTTGCCCAAAAGTGCATGTTGGAATTATATTTTGATGAAGAATATGTTGTTAAAAAATGAGGAAAAATTTTAGATTTACGTGTAATATTATTTTATTGAAAAATATGTGATTGAAAATAAGAACAAAAAAAATGTATTTTAAAAATAATGGAGATCAAACAAAGACTAAAGCGTGTATCTTTTTTCAATGGTTGAGCAGTGTGTGGTTTATGCTGCAGTGCACATACAAGGCTTTCAAATGTAAAGTTCACAAAAAGACACATTTTCTTGGTGTTAACAATGATTACTAAAGAAAATATTAATAATTCTTTAAATTTCAACGAACAAAATTCTCCTTAGCCGCCATCATAATTGGTATCCCATGAACTCAGATGGTAAAGCTGGAATGAGATTTTAGTGTCTCTTTTAATTGCATCATTTCCATCTAAATTATTTGTATGAAAATATATTTTCGTATTAGTCGAAACTCATTTCAATATTTATCCTTATCGACCAATTTACAATTTAAAGCTAGTTGAAGAATAAACTTCATATTTATAGCATATAAAATATCTAACGGCACATTGGTCATTAAAAAAATAATTGAACTTTGAGTGGAAACGGGCCAACAAACTAGACTCAGCAGCTTTGCTCTTGACATTGGACCAATTTTAGGCAAATTCCATCGTTTAAGCCCTCGTTTACGTACTTTTCCATTTTTTTTTTTTTGGGTAAAATTTTGATTCGGTTATATCTTTTCCAAATAAACTCGGATTTGAATTCCATTTGTAGGACGATAATCCTGGAGATTAGAACTATCAAATTTAGTCATTATCTCGATTTTTTCCATTTTTGGAAAAAAGTCGAATTTTTATTTTTTTTGGTTTTTCCGAATTTCTCTAGGGTTCTTTCTCTATATAAACATTGTAAGCCCTTTGGAAGCCGTATTGAATGATAAGAAATATTAGTAAGTCCGACTCCTGAGCTTTGCTTTGACTTCTTTTTGGCCCACTGCCAAAGAAAATTAGAGTAGGATTGGAAGCTTTGTGATTAGGATGATACTATCTAGCCCCGTGATTCTAGAGGATCAGTTTACGTGACTGCATTTTATTGACTTAATTAAGCTTATCTTTGATAACCATTATTTCAGTAAAATGGAGTTTTGAAATAATGGTTGTAAAACGAGGGATAAATGAGTCATTTGTCTTTATATTTAAATGATTATATCATTTAATGTCATGTAACTACTACTTAAATTGATGCTTAATGAATAGATGATGCAGACATCACGATTTATGTTGTTGTTAATTTTTATTAATTACGTCTTTTATTATTATTGGACTTGTAGTAGTGGGTTGGTCCAATCCTGTCACTAGTAGGTTAGATTTTTACTATTTATTAGATTTTTCATTGTAGTTGAATTAGTTAATGATTGAATGAAAATTAAAGTTGACGGCTACACGTTATTTTCTCCCATTCCCTATGTTTTTCCAGTTTCCTTCCCCTGCTTTCTTCTTCTAAGTTCTTGACTTGAATTCTAATTCATCCTACATCAAATTGGTATCAGAGCTAAACCTGATTTCCATCACCCATTACATACACACGATATTTCTCACCAGCCACCCAACATAATTCGCCACTGCCTTCAACCCATAGCATCCTATTCATCACACTTCAAACCTATATGGAATCCAAACTACATCTTCATCTTACAACAACTATATTCAGCCCAGATACACAATTCCAACAGAAACACATCTCGCGCTACTACACAACCAATACTACCCTGGCCGCTTCTGGACACCCCACCACCAATCACAACTCGCGACACGGCCATCACGCCATCTCGTACCAAAGAATTCCATACAACCCACCCCCAAAAAGTGATATATATTCATTAACAAAAAGGATATTGTTATGAATAATAAATGCGATCATCTACATGATATGGTTTTAAAATATTTATCCCATGTGATCTAATGCTTCATATAAAAAAATATTTTTGACTTTTCCACACTTCACATCCAAGGTCGAATTTCTTCTACATAGACCTATGTAATCTATTATGTACAATAATTATGTACATATAGATTTATCCTAAAGATATTATCTAATTTTATATTCAGATATGAAGCTGTCCGTTTCTACTTCTTTTGAGATTTGTAGTGATTTGTTTACCATTTTATTCAAATTCATGGGACCCACTGTGAAAGAAATGGTCAAAGATTTTGACTAAAATGTGTTGCAACGGTCTGAAAATCAATTGAAAAATCAGATAGCGCATAATTCGAGAATAATCCACATAACGTGCCACACATTTCTTTTTCATATCCTACAACATATTGTATCATGTATGTAAAGT